AGCCTGACTCCACCCATTTATGCTGCTTCAATTACTCTAACTTTTAAAACAAAAGAAACCTAAGCTTTCACAAGCTGTTTACTTTATTGACTTGGAAGAGACAACTCCGCCTGTGTCTCAAAATCTCTCTTCCAAGACAAAGGACAAAATACACCTCGTAAAGCCATACATCACAGCTAATTTTGATATCTTTTGCATATTCATTTTAATACACAATTTTTATAGTTTTTGCCAGCTGTTTTCCCATTTAAAAAGAAAATTTCCTTCTGTAAGGATCTATGCTTTCTGTTTTCCCTTTCACATGCATCCCATTTTAGTTTTATCTTGACTTTTAACTCCTTAGTCATTCTAAGCTGTTTTCATTTCTGACAGATACAGGTCATACCCTTGAGGGTACAAACTGGTTCTGCACACAAATGATTTCTTGAACATCTTTCAGTGATCATCTTTTTTAACTATTAATAGATTTGCCCATTTTACTACAGTCTTTGTCACATCACATCAAAATCAGTCTTACCAAAATCTAAAAACTGAAACACCAGTTGAGCTGAATCATGTTATTACCACTATTAGATAAGTATTCCCATATTATTAAGCTGTTATCAATCTCAAATATGGCATGCCCTGATGGATTCAGGACATATTGTTGCAGAAAAGTATCCTGGACACACTTAAGAAATTTACCAGCTTTCTTAAATCTGCTTGCTTGCTTATCCCAATGTAAAAGTTAAAATTGCCCTCATTAAAACTATCCAGCTTTTGCTACATGCTTGTCTATTATCTGCATTTATTTGACCTACCATTTCACAGCTGGTCCCAGGCCTACATTTTTAAAATTTATTATTTCTACCCATTGTCATCACTGCCTACTTACCTTGAATTTTGAAAGCTCTACTTAGCACAGCTTGACAGCACATTTGTGTATGTGTAATAGGGTAAAAGAGTGAAATACAAACATGCACAGACATGCACAAATGAAAAAGAAAACAAAGATACATACCCAGACTCAATTACCAAACTTCAAACATAGAATTCCTTTAGAAGGCACAAGTCACTGCTTGTGAGTCTGTTTCACCATGCAGGCCCACCTTCTTCTCAGTGCTGACTGATATCAGGAACACATCAGTAAGCAAAATTTCAATTAATTGCCAGCTAAACAAACTGCAGTGCAGCTCTGCATTGCACAGTTTTCCCAAAACCCAGATTTGCCTTCCACCTGCTGCCAAACTCCAGCATTTCTACTGAAGCCCATTTAACAATGTTGTCAAAGCCTAGTTCTGCCTCTATTTCTCTAAGATGCAGGGTAGAACCCCAAATGCTTTCCTTTTAAAATCAACTATCTAACTCAATTGTTGCATCTTGTACATTGTTTGAATTTAAGAAAGAACTCACCATTAAAATAGTGAGGAATAAAACTTAAATGAGTACATAAAATATAAATATTGACCACTCATTTCTGGTTTGCACAAATAATGGCAATGTTGTTAAATTCAACTCTCGGAACACAGAAAAATAACAGAACGTGACTAAATAATAATGGAATTTTAATTGTTCAAATACTGTCAGTTAGTGCTTCAGATATTATCCCTCTGTTTTCGTCATACTCCGATGTGTAGAAAACATTGAATCCTCTGAGTCAGGCAATGCCATGGGAGATCTATTCGAAACATATCAAAAATCTTCATCTATCCTGTCAGCTTTTGCAATGAGTCAGGTGTTGCTGCAAAAATAATGGCAAGGATAATCATGCTAACTATTATTAATGCGCTAATCGGACAACTTCTGGTTGGCGCATTTGCTTTGCACAACTGAACTTCAAAACCCAGAAGTATCTCTCCACGATGTATTGCTCCTTCACAGGTCATGAAAAATGACATCACACTGTTCGACTCTCCATTCAAAAGTATTCAATGCCATGAACCTCCTGTATTGACATGATAATAGATTCTCCTGCTGTTTTCACGATCTACTGAGATGGTTCATGTGCTAATCAAAAAGCTGCTTCTCAGACTTTGCCCTCTGGATGCTTTCACTGGTGTGCAAGAGGCATAGGGTGTCCGGTTCACACTTATAAAAGGTCTCTGACTTACTAACTATAAATCACAGTTTATAGCAACTGCTGAAGGAAAAATAGACTGGTTTCCTTTATGTTTAAAGTGGCTTTTACTGCAGCGAACAGAGACAGTTCCTAAGCTGGTGGAGGTCTGAAGGTTTCTCACAATATTATTCATAGCTCTAAAGAGTTTGGCTGCTTGAGAATCAATCAAATAGTTATTGGCACTCAGAGGGCTTTTTTCAATCAATAACTGGTCATTAGTCCACAGGTGAATCAGCTACTTGCTGCCAGTGGAATCTCTAATTATACACACTCCTCAGTTTATCAGCACACTACTTTTCAACTATGTTTTCCATTTTCCTTCTATCTATAACAAGTTTTTTTTCCCTTTCTATGTTCACACACATGTGCGTGTGTGTGAGAGAGAGCAAGATCATGAGAAAGAGGGGAAGTGTGTAAGAGGGTTAGACTTTTAACTGATACTTATATGTCAACAGTTCATGATTGTTCATCTGTAACTAGTGTCTATATATTTTTTAATAAATACAGAAGTATGGGTCTGTGCTTCCTGTCAAACTGATCTGAAAAAAAATTCGGGTATATTGGAGAATTTTGCACACTTCTATATAATCTTTAACTTTCATAATAACTCTGGGAAAAGCAGGGCTTGATTTCCAGTGTAGTACACCAGAGAGGCATAACAGCATTAAGAACATTGTCATTGACAAACAAGTGTTCACATAGCAGCTGTTGTATGATCTTTGTGTGAGACTTAAGCATTTGCAGATTGAAGAAGATGCTGTCTCTCATGTACTTAATCTTTGAATGCATACAAGAGCATGGCCACAAAATAGACGGCAAACAGAATTGAAGCCATTATACAACTTTGCTTTGTACCACTCACTGATAGTGAGAAAGATATCTGTTGGCGCGCCATTCTGCATCATGCTGGCCATCAGCCAGTCATGATTGAGCAAATAATGCTGATCTTATTCTCAGGGCAACCATATGTCCACTGCACAGTTTAAACTTTCATAGTTTGCTATGTCATGTAGAAGAATTTGATCTGTTTGCATGATTTTGAATTTTACATGCAACAAGGACCATGTCCATTATTTCTCATCTAGCACAAATTCAACACTGTGTTTCTGGGTATGCTGAGTCTGTAATATCAGTCACAAGCTTGTTGAGAATAATCCTTGTGAAAACTTTTTCCCACTGCACACCCAAGTGAAAATATCACCATGCTTGTCATAGATGGACTTGCCTCCTTTTAGTTTTTACAGATGAGTTTTGGAAACATTTTTTTGGATACAATGTCCTGAATTCAGAATAAGCAGGAAAGGTTAGTGAGCTTCCTAACCATGCAAACCTATCCTTGAATATTTTGCATGGAATGTCATTGGTTCCCAGATATTTAATCACAGAAAGCTGCTTCATAATCTTGGTAACCTCAGCTTGAGATGGATCAAGGGTGAGCTGTGTGGAATCTTGATTCAGGAACCTGGTAAACTGCTCTGTCTAGAGAGATAGAATCCCATTCTTACTCATTAGGAACTGACTGTTATAAAGTGGAGGTTGACCACTCCCCGCTTACGTCTAAGAGGCGTCATACTATTTTGGCACCACAGAAAAATCAGAGACCTTCATGGAGAGCCTTCAAGTCATATTTATCAGTTGCTTCTCGAAACTTTGCAGCCTGGTTCTCATCATTTGTTTTTCATATCTCTTAGTTCAGCCTGCAGTGTCTGTTTTGCTTAAGGTACCCGGCTTCTCTTGCTGGAGACATTTGGTTTTAATCCAATAATTAAGTTTTGCTATCATTGTACACATCATCTAGTTGGATACATCTTGGTGTTTGTGTTCGATGAATCCAAGCGTCAGGGTTGCCACAGTATGAGTGACATCACTCAACTTTTTTTTTTCAATAATTTTCAATGTCCGTGTTAAATTCTGAAATGCCAGCAAGCTCTGCAGCTAAGTTTTGTACTGGTTCCCATCTCTTGGTCAAGTCTTTTAGAATAATTAAATCAAGTGTCCTTTGTGGTTTGACTCTATCATAGCATTTTTTGATGTTAACTTCAAGGACATGATGCTTCTGTCAAGCCAGGAGTCTGATTATTCGGTCTCTAAGGCAGCAGGTACAAATCAAGCACGTCCTTGATGTCTCTCTGTTGCAAAATAATATAGTCCAACATGTGCCAAAATTTATATCATATGTACATTCATGTTGTTTTCAGTTTGATAGCTTGTTGTTTTATCACTTTGCAAGGATATTAGTGATTGACTCATGGTACTTTCAGTAAGTCTTTTTAGAAGCCAGTACGCAATACTCAGCAGTGCCTGATCACCAGCAATGACATGCAGAGATGATAACAAAGATTTATTTTAGATGACCTTAGCACAATCAGAGCAGCACCTCACCAAAAAAAAACTCATCATCTTTAATGACTTCAATGCCTGTGTTGGTACACACTGTAAGACATAGAGAGAAGTAATAGGACACCATAGCATTGGTAAACTGGCCAACATCATCTCTCTGCAGTGAGTCTGACTTTACTATCTTAAACACAGGGAAGAAGTTTACAAAATGAAGGCAGCAGGATGGTGGTGTGGGGAATAGTGTGGGGCAGTAAAATTTTGAGGATCTCAGTTGGATTGGCTTCCTGACAGGTTCCATTGCCATGGAGTTTATCAATGGCAGAAAAGCCACGGTCTAAGTATTCAAATGCCCTTTCAAAGAGCACTTTAGATGTTGTTGTCATTTTGTCAATCGACCCCTCTCAGGTGGGAGGCCAACAATTGAATACTGTAGGTGTCATGGCAGCAGCCCAGGGAGGCAGGAGGCATTTTTTTTTGTCCAATTGGTGCGAAGTTTTCCTCTCCAACAATTTAATCTTTAATAAATTTGTCCGGCCTATCTGGAGATTGCTGCAGGACATACCTTAGCAGGATCATACTTCTCGTGACACTGATGAGGGTGCTGAGACATCCACCCTTCGATTGGGTCAGCAATTCTAGAAGGCAAGTGCAAATTCATATGTAATTACAAACATTCTTAAAATGTCTATTTAAATCCATGCTACATTGGTTCAATATATTCCCTGTTTTAAAAGGGGAAACAGTGCATAATCTTAAAGGTTCAAAGCAATACCATGAATGTTGAAATAAAAACAGCATATGCCAGAAAATGCACCAGTCCAGTCGGCTTTCAAGAAGACATCTCAGATTTAGGGTAGAACCCTCACTCAGAAGTGGACTCAATACTCTACACAAAACAATAAAATTTATTTCCTCTTCCCAAATCCTGAGACATTATTTTCAGTCCAGCAAAAATGATACTCTCTTTTTAAAGCAGTTTATTTAGAATGAATTTATCAATCAATTATCCTGATTTTGGTTTTAGGATATAATATATTACAATCTTAGGATATTTTCTAAAGAGAATAAATAAAAGTGTGTGGTCTTAGGCTTGTTTGACTCGGAATGTACAATAACGGTTATTGTGAGCAATTGACAGATAAAGCCTCGTCATGAAGCACTTACTCCCACTATAAAAGGAAAATTGGGAGAAGTATAGTTATGGAGATGGCATTTCTATATTTCATAATATCTCCAGTGCAAATTACTTCTCAGCCTAACTACTCAGCCACTTGGCCAGCATGCTCATTCAATTCAAAAGGGAATTAAATGGTAAGTTGAATAGAAAGAATGTACAGAGCTATGGGAAAAAGGCAAGAAAATGGCACTATGTGATAATGCTCATCTGGAGAGCTGGTGCACCCATGACTGGACAAATGGCCTTCTTCAGCACCATAATAATTCTGTGCATGGTTCACAGCCTATTTGCTTGCTTCCTGACCCAAGTAATTTGCAGCCCACCTGTTTGTTCCCCATCTCAGCCTATTTATTTGCCCACATATTTTACCAAACTGTGAAACAGAGAGTTGGAAGATGGGATCAAAACAAGGAAAAGCTAGCTACGAAGAACAAAAGGCAATGAAATCTGAGATATGGAAGTGAAGGAAATGTGGGGTAAAAAACAGAAGTAGAAGAGGAAAACTACAAATGTGGCAGAAGAGACAAAATAGTTAAGTGATTAGCAAAAATGTATTTGCAGACTTACCAGTACATTATCCTTAGCAAGAGGGACATTAGCTTTAGGTGAAATTTTCAAGTGCATAAAATTTTTTTTAAAACAAAATTATCAACAATTGTGAACATACAAAAAACAAAATATCTTCTTACAATTATACTTTGGTATGCTTCCCCGATGAGATGCAATGGGTACACTCTAGTTGTCAAGACATCACCACTGAAAATCTGCTCTCTACCTATAAACACTTCGTCATCTCTTCACCTATATATTTGATAAAGCATTTCTTGCTTACGAACCAAACAAAGTTCAGAGTCTTGCCACCAACTAGTACACTGGATTAGCACCTCCATTGTATGTGCTCTTAGCACTTGACTCTCTGTTCTTTGCTTTAGTCACATCCAGATCAGGACATGTGCTTGGAACTGGTTGCATATTCTAGACTATTTTCCCATTTTTCATGCATTCAGCTCCAATTTTTTCCTTCAGTATCCACACAGTACACTCCCTAGCCCACGCATTTGCCCTTGAAGTTTTCAGCTTACTCATTTCATGCTCCAGCTGTCCCCACTAGTCCCAGTCTTCAGCGTGGCAGCCCTGCTGAGTAAGAAAAAAAATGTTTAGCTTGAAGATATATTTTGTATTGCCAAGAGCACTGCACAGATCAGCTTTGAGACAATCACATTAAAATTGCATTCCCCCCAACTCAATGAACAATTTGCTGTCAGAAATACTGATACACATATTCATTGACTGTTCTTATTAAAAATCTTACATCTGTTTACAAAAAACACTTGCTTGCTGTTGCGCCATTGCCTGGATTTATAAATTCCTATATCCACAGTTATGATGGAAACCGTATCTGGCACTCAGTTATTACATAATATTATCACCAGGTGGCAGTGTATTATTTCCTCTCTCCTTTCGTAACATTTTCGATTTTTTTTCATTTCTATTTTTCCTTGGTAAATGAAATTTCTAAAATTCAGAATGAGTTTAAACAAAGTTTAAAACCTACATGTTCCATAATAACACAAATACAACTGTTCTTTGAATTTCCTTTTATGTAATTCATACTTCTGATAAATGATCCTCTTGAAGGCTTACTTTCTTTCAACAGCTGAGTTTGAACTTGATGCTATTGGATAAGTGTTAAGTGTGCAGTCTGAGCATGTGGAGACTCCAGAACAGTCACAGCAGATTGGACATTAACAAATAGTAAAACCACTATTCAAGAATGAAAGCTGAGAGAAAACAGAACTACAGGTCAGTTAACCTGCCATCTATCATCATAAAAATGCTGTAATCTAATATTAAGGAACTCTTACATAGTATTTTGGTATTTTATGCGAGAAACATATTTGCAGCTCACAGGCTGAATTGCAGTGTCATTTGCATCTAAAAATTCATAATGTATATAAGTTTGCAGATGATACAAAGAGAGTTGCGAATACAAGCTGTGAAGAGGTCCCAGAGATACTGCAAAGGGATATAGAGAGGTCACATGAATGGATGACAAGGTAGCAGATGGAGCATAATGCGGAAACATGAGGTTGTTCACTTTGAAGTTAGAACAAAAAAGGCAGATTTTTTTAGGGCATGAAATTTGTAAATATTGATGTTTAGAGGTATTTTGTATACTTGTACATGAAACATAAAATGTTAGCACGCAGGCACAGCAAATATTGAGAAAGCAAATTAGGCTTTATTACTGCGGAATGGAGCACAAAATTAAGGAAGTCTTGCTATAATTGTACAGGTCTTTAATGAGACTATATGTGGAGCACTGCATGCAGTTTTGGTTTCCATACTTGATTGAGTACGTTATTTCAATGGAGGTTGAGAGGGGATTTGAGGAAACCTTTTTCACTCAGAGGATGGTGGAAATCTAGAATGCACTGAGGTTAGTAGAAGCAGGAAATCTCACAACATTTAAAAAGTATGTGGATGAGCACTTGAAATGTTATAATACACAAGGCCATGGGCCAAGTGCTAGAATGTGGGATTAATGTAGATAGGTTGGCACAGACTCAAGGGACCAAAGGGCTTCTTCGATGCTGTATTACTTTCTGACTATGACTAGATTGATTTATGGGCTGACAACATCTTTGACCTATGATAACAGCTGAGTAAATTGGGCCTATTCACTGGCATTTCCAATGATAAACAAAGGTACAAAAATTGGCTTAGCGGGAGGAGACATAGAGTGGTGATAAAAGGTTGTTTGTGTGACTGGAGGCTGGTGTCCAGTAGCATGCCACAGGGATCTGTGCTGGCCTCCTTATTGTTCAGGATATATACAAAATATATAGATAAGAACTTGTGGGAGATGCTAAGTAATTTATAGATGACAAGAAGATTGGACAGGCGGTTAATAGTTAATAGAGGAAGAGTGTTTTAGGTTACTTGTATGGCAGATACTGAGGCTGTTTCTCATTGTTGGGGCATCTGAAACATGGGATCACAGTATCAGGATAAGGGGCCAGTCATTTAGAACTGAAACAATAAATTATTTCACTTCAAGGATTGTGACATTTTCAAATTCTTTACCTCAAGTTGTGCATGCCCTATCATTGAATATATTTAATGATGAAATCAGCAGATTTTGGTCTCTCAGAGAATCAAAGGATGTAGGGAGTGGACAAATAAGATTCTGGCTGAAGATCATCCACAGAATACTGAATAGCCAAGCAGGCTCGTTGGGTCATATGGCCTTCTCATAGAATCACAGAATTCCTACAGTGCAGGTAACGGCCACGTGGCCCATCAAGTCTGCACTGACCCTCCCAACAGCATCCCACCTAGACCCCAACTTATCCCCTTAACCCCACATTTACTATGGCTAATCTACCTAGCCTGCACACCTTGGATACTATGGACAATTTACCATGGCCAATCCATCTAACTTGCACATCTTTGGATGCAAGAGGAAACTGCAGCACCCAGAGGAAACCCATATAGACACAGGGAGAACATGCAAACTCCATACAGGCAGTTATCCAAAGCTGGAATTGAACGCAGTCCCTGGTGCTGTAAGGCAGCAGTGCTAACCACTGACCTACCATACTGCCCTTATCCTTGTTCTTCTGCTTTTAAGTTTACAAGTGAGGGTTTGATAATCCCCTCCACTCTTCTTGTTAGTTGTGAGGCTGTCCATCATAATTTGCAGATATGCCAAGTCTATGGAATTTTGCTTCGATCCAACAAGCTATATGCCCTACCTTTGCTAAATTGGTACCTCTTTCTAGCAAATATTTTGTGCTGCTTTTGGTATTCTCTTGTAAAGTCTTCAATTAACCAGGGAAAGAGAATCCTGGTTTGTAGATTTTCCAAAGTGAGATAAAAGACAAAAAAAAATTTACAAAATTTGCTGGAAATCCATTACTAATGGCTTTAGCGCTTTACAGCTGTTCAGATTTGGGCTTCTGGATCTGTTCTTAGCTGGTTCCGTGTTATACAATTAAGACCAGTTAATATGGTTACAAAATTTTATTTTTACAATTACTCTTAACAATCCTTGAGTTGATAGATATGCCTACCACAGATGGGTTCACAATCATAGGATTGTTATGGACCGGAACAAGCCCCCCTCAAAAAATGTGTCAAGGACATAGCCTAGACCCTAACATTTATCTTACTTAAAGGTAAGTGTAATGCACTGTGTTCCAGATGTGATTTGACTGGTCAAACTACTCGATTTAGGCAAAACTCTCTTTATTCTTACACAATAGTTAAAATACAAAGAAAAAACTTGACATAACTTTATTAAAGGGTTTAATAAAATATTGTTTTATCTACTACTCATCAATATAGCAGCATCCAATAAACACACCCTTGCCAAAGGCAAATTCAACAAAACAGATTTCCCTCACTTGTTATCTCCTCCAGTCCAGAAGGAACACCAATTGAATGAATCTAGTAACAGAGAGAGAGCTCAAGCTTTTGTAACAACTGAGGGAGAGCTGTATCAAGCAGCTTCAACTCCAGAAACCTCAACTTTGACAACTGAAAGCAAAACTAAATCCCACGTCTGTATGAACCTGACTCCATCCGCTCATTTTTCTTTCATTTAATTTAAAACAAAATCCAAAGCTATTTACTCTGCTTTCCATGGAGCAGATACCTCAGTTACAATACAGCCCTTCAAGAGAACCAAGACAAACAAATCGCTCTTAAACACATATTATCACAGGATCAATTAGTTTACTTCTTTTTCACTTCACATAGTGTAAAGCTGAGTCTCTCTCTCTTGCAGGACTTGGCCAGAGGTCGAACTACTGCTCTACTCACTGTAAGTGGTAAACATCAAAGTGTGCCAGGAAGAAAACATCCTGCACTACTGTTTTCCTAAAAGCTTCTTCCAGGTGATGTTAAACATCCAAGAATAATGCTTCATCAGTCTTTTTTTGGTGGGGATGGGAGAGCAGAAGGCAGAAGATATTGATCAGATAGATGTTTTGCTGACCTCGGTTAAGCTGAAACTGTGAAACTTCATGGAATGTGTCATCAAACTGGAGGAATCCTGGGAACACACTCTTACTCGATTGTTTACTGCTGTGTGACCATGGATCGAACTTGCTGGTTACGTGGCAAATACTTACTCCTCATATGTATGTTGTAACTATTCGTGGGTATAGATTGTTTTTATCAACACCTCACATTTGTGGCATTGAATAAACAAATAAGTAATATCATGGAATACAACAAGTTGATATAAAGACTGCCTGTTACACTATTTGTGCTGAAACATGATTGCTTCCATATAATTCCTTTTTTATGCGCATAGGATAACTAATCTGTTTTCATCTATCCACTGGTTAATTTCTCACTTCACAGATGCTGCCAGACCTCCTGAGCTTTTCCAGCAACATCTGTGTTTGTTTAGCTTACAGCTGTCCTTGAGGTAAATGAGTGAAGCAGTGTTTCTGTTGTGTAGCATTTATGCACACGTTTTAGGAGTTAGAAATAAGGCCCTTGTTCAGTAAGGTAACAACCATTTTTTTTACGAGTCACAGATCTGAAAAAAAAATTCCAGAAGGTTTATCTTATTTTATCAACCTAGTGTTTCTTTAAAAAAAAATCTCGGGAATAACGGCGTATAAATAAGTGCTGTGCAAGACATATTTAAAGTTATCAATGAATCAATAATGTTAGAACAACTCGTGTAAAGGTAACACCCATTCATACACCCTTTTTCCTATTAGTAGTAGGAAGCTAAAGCGTGAAAAAGATCAGAGTAAGAGTATACAATAAGCTGTGGTTAGCAATGTAGATATGATTCATCGTCCTGATTTCTAATAGATTAAAGTACACAGGCAGAGAGGCGACAGCATCTCGTTTTCATTGCATACACGCACCAAATGCTTAATCATCTTGATTTTTGGTGTAAACAACACATGCATGCGGAGGGGGCTGGGAGAAATCAGCACGCCTGCGCTTGCACAGCTTTCTGGCAAATGCAGTTTTCTCAATGGATTCCCTTCCGCGGAAAAGAAACGTGTTTGTCAACTACAGTTCCCGGGAGGGCTTAGCACAGTGTATCGTCCTATTTATTCAGGCAATGCACCAAACAAAATTAAACCGAAATACATTATATAGAACAACTTTAGTAAAACTATACATCCATAAAGGAACGGATGTTGATGATGGGGTTACCTTTCAAGCCTATATGCTATGCCCCCACTTAATAGTTGGCTCTGCACCCCTCAGCGCATTTGTTTACCTTTCATTCCCTCCATTAAGTGAATCAGTCGTTGATGATAAGAGAAATCGGTATGTGCTGGATGAATATGAAAGAGGGAAGCTTTTCTTTAAAAAAAACTGTATTCAAGCTTTAGCATCACCACTTGCCTGATGGCCAACAAGAAGTGAAATTGCACAATCAGAAACTCATTTACACAATACCTCACCCTCATCAGCAAAGCTTTGCGGGTCCAACGAACTTGGCACAGGGAGAGGGAGAAGACAGAGAAAGATACACACCAGCCGCAGATCCCACCCTCCTCTCAGGCCATTGGCGCGTCATGGGCCCTACGGAAACACTCCGCCTTTCCTCACATTTGATTGGCTGCCGCCGCTTGAGTGGCAACGCACCTGGCGGGAAGGACTGCTTTCAAGTGGTCGGTACGCCTGTCCGTCAAGGCAGGCTCCGCCCTCCCTCGTTAGCATAAGCGAGTACGCTCCATTAAGTGTACGTCACAGGTTGTTTTTTTTACCGTGATTGAGAAAGGGGAGTGTGTGTTTCTGTGAGTGAGTGAGTGAGTGTGGGGTTGGGAGGATAAAATCGGTCCATTTAGATGTTTGTTTTCTTTACGGGCAAGTCGGAGAGATGTTTACGGAGCCAGAACCTTGACGGAAAGAAAGAGAGAGAAAAAAACCCCCTTAGATAGACAGCCGCGCGGTGAAGAGGTGGCGGGGTTTCCTTCCATCCGCAGGCGGCGGGGGAGGGGGTAGGGAGGGAAGCACCCGGTTACAATGGCGAGTTCGCCCAATTATTACCACCAGGAGCAGTTACTACTACACCGGCACTACAACAACGAAAACGACCGACGCGCCGGGGACACGGCTACGAGGAGAAGAACGACGACGGTAGCGGCGGCCAGGACGGTAACAACAACAGCAACGGCGCCAGGATTATTACCAGCAGCGGCAGCGTCGTCGTCGTCTTCAACGGTTAGAAGCGGACACGCGACGACGGAGCTGACACAGCGCGAGATCCCGGTCGATCAGCCGGCACGGCTCGAGCGGGCGCTTAACGCTACACAGCCTTGCAATGTGCGCGACGCCGCCGTCAGCGGCGGCGGCGACCACAGCAACAGCAGCAGCGCGCGCGAGCCGGCGGTTTGCTCCACGCAGCGCGAGACGGTTGCCCCCGCGGGTCGCGAGGTCTCGGCGGCGGCGGCGGCGCGAGGGGCGGCCAGCACCACCGCGACCGCCACCACCTCGACCACCATGGACTGTTACGAGGACGTGAAGAAATACGGCTACATGAGGAAGCAAAAGCACGGCCACAAGCGCTTCTTCGTGCTGAAGGGGCAGAGCCACCTGGGTCCGGCCAGGCTCGAGTACTACGACAGCGAGAAAAAATGGAGAAACCGATCGACCGCCCCCAAGAGGGTCATTCTGCTCTGTCAGTGCTTTACGGTCAGTAGGCGAGCTGATGCCAAAAGTAAATACCTCGTAGCTCTGTACACAAAAGATGAGTACTTCGCCATGGTGGCAGAGAACGACCAGGAGCAAGAGAGCTGGTATTTGGCCATAAGTGAACTAATGAATGAAGGGAAGAAGGTACCGCTGGAGCCCGACGAAGTGGAGAACTATGGTAATTTAACTCCAGGCACCGTTTTCAAAGAAGTGTGGCAGATTAATGTGAAGCCCAAAGGGCTGGGGCAAACCAAGAACCTGACGGGGGTGTACAGGTTGTGTCTTTCCAGCAAGATGATTCATTTTGTTAAAATCAATTCTGACGTGCCTTCTGTGCATTTGCAGCTGATGAACATCAGGAGGTGTGGTCACTCTGAGAACTTTTTCTTTATTGAGGTTGGCCGTTCTGCCTCTATTGGCCCTGGTGAGTTGTGGATGCAGGTAGATGATTCAGTGGTGGCTCAAAACATGCATGAGACGATTCTAGAGACAATGAGAGCTTTGAAAGCTTTTACTGAGTTTCGTCCCAGAAGTAAAAGTCAATCCTCTGGGACAAACCCCATATCATTTTTGACTCGAAGACATCTTGGTAATTTACCACCAAGTCAGACTGGATTGCAAAGGCGTTCCAGGACTGAGAGCATGACTAGTGCCTCTGCATCAAGAAGTGAAGCATATCGTTTTCGAACGTCCAGTGAAGGTGAAGGTACAATGACACGACCCTTTGGATCTGTTACTGGAAGTTTAATCCACTTAAATTCTGCAAGGATGGGCTTAAGCAGGGGGGATGGAGGTGGAAGGTATGTAAAGCCGCCTTTTGGTCCCTCGAACCATAGTCGGTCAGTGTCTCTGCCTGTGACATACCTACCGTCTACGACAAGCCCTGTAAGTGTTTCTTCCAGCAGTGGACATGGTTCTGCATCTGATCCTCTTACACGACCATCTAGTTCATCCATTTGTGGTTCTCCAAGTGACGGTGGATTTATTTCCTCTGATGAATATGGATCAAGTCCTGGGGACTTTAGATATTTCCGTGTACGGAGTAATACACCAGATTCACTTGGTAATACACCACCTATTCAAGAAGAAAATTGCTTGTGTGATTATATTTCAATGGACAAACATATAAATGCTGTAAATTATGAAGGCAGAACAAGAGATGATTATGTAGTTGCTGAGAAAGGGTACAGAAAGAGAACCCACTCTCTGACCAGTTCCGGTGCCGTGGTAATGCATCAAAAAACAACACAGACGACTTCATCTTTAGATGAGTCTAATGTTGATTCAAATGGTGTGGTTATTAATAGCCAGTTATCTTGTTCTGCATCACCAAAGTTGACCTGTAATTCTTACCACGAAGATTGTAGTGATATTGAGATTGGGCCATCAGTAAACCAAAGCCAAAACAAAGCAAGAGGTGATGGTTATATGCCAATGATGCCTGGTGTTGCATCTGCTAGCCATAATAGAAGCCAAGATTATATGCCAATGAATCTTAAAAGCATTTCTGCTCCAAAACAAATTGGTTCTTTGTCGCCAAGTCAAATGGACTCAAGGGGATACATGGTGATGTCCCCCAATGATAACAGTTCTCCAGTGCGAAGCATGTTTACAGAGTACAGTTCAAAACTAGGGAGCAACAATGAAAAATTATCTAGTGAATACATGGATATGTCCCAGAGAAACCTGAATACACGAAAATTATCCAATGATTGCTTCTATAACCTCAATAGTCCTGATGCTCCTAAATCCTACAGCTCGTATTATTCATTGCCTCGATCATTCAAAACTCCCTCAGAGGAAAATGGTGAGCATGATGAGTATGTTCCTATGTGTTCACCAGGAAAGTTAATGTATGGAGAAACATCGATGTTTACTGGCAATGTTGGTAACAGTGGTTTAGTTCACCATACTTCTCAATCTCCAAGGACACAAAACCAAGATGAGCGTGTTTTACAAAAAGGAAAAGTTGAGAGACCCACGAAATTGTCCCTTGGCACGCCAGAAGTAAACACTTCACCAAGACTGTTTGAGCATAGTTTGCTGCCAGAGCCAAAAAGTCCAGGAGAATACATCAACATTGCTTTTAATGAAAAAGCTAGTAATACACCATATTCTCTATCAGCCGAAGGATCCCCATCTTCACTTGGGTCCAGTAGTGAACATAGACGGTCTCCGTTGTCAGACTACATGAGTGTTGATTTAGATGTACTGTCACCAAAGCCAGCTATTCTTTCCTCAAATCCTTTGACTAGTATGACCATTGCTTCAGGCTCTAGCATAACCAGAAGCCAGCCAAATGATGCTTACATCAGTGTTCCTCTTGGTGCCACATGTGTCAATACACCTGCTGTGGTGGATGATTACACAGAAATGACATTTAATTTGGCAGTAACAGCCTCTCGTCCTGCTTCACCAAAGTCCGACAATGTAGAGGTGACAAGCCCTACAGCCATTGTGAAGAGGTTGTGCATTATTGATCAATATCCCAGTATAAATACATTTCCTGTCTCTAAACCTCCTGATGCCAATCATGGTCCGAAGGTAATCCGTGCTGATCCACAGGGAAGAAGGCGGCACAGTTCAGAGACATTCTCATCTACACCCACAATGGCACCCTCTTCTCCCTTTTTTGCTGATGGTGGCAAAAGGCATAGTTCTGCTTCATTTGATAATGTTTGGCTTAAGCCAAATGACTGCCTTAGTGATGAGCATCGGAGTACCATGTGCAGAAATACATCTGCTGGATTTCAGAATGGATTGAACTATATTGCATTGGACTTGAGGGAAGATCACGGATGTTGTGATTCAAATGGAAGTGTGCAGACTTCAAATCACCTCCAAGTTGCCAGTAGCACAGACTCTCGAGGTTATGCCAGCATAGACTTTACCAAATCAGATGGGCTGAAATATGCATCTGCAACTGAAGGTTTGTTCTGTTTTTGTTTTTCCATATTTCAGGTGATCAAGGTACAAAGTTTTGTTAGCCTCACACAAAAATTAACTGGACATCAAAATGGTAGGTGGAGATTTCAAAGTGACTTGGCAGGTTGCAGGAAGTGAAAAGGTGGTTTATAATCCTGGTGCACTTTAAACCTTATTTATAAAGTTAGAACTATATTAGTGGGAGGGGCTAGTATCAAGAGGGAAGAAACTAAATTTTGATTTTCTCCTGTATTAACAACAATTTCTTCCCTGTCATTATCTTTCTCTTGAATTAGTTTTCTGGAAGTGATGAATTAAACTTAGAGAAATTTTCTCTGAGAGTGTGTGTATTGTATCAATGAATGTAGTACGTGCTCTGGGTTTAATGCAAGTTTGCATGACCAGTTCATTTTTCTGCTGTGCGTAACTGCATACAAGTTTTGGTCAATAGACTCATTCTCCAATGACTAACCAAAAAGGTATTTGCCTGAAATGGGAGGAAGAAGTTGTGTTTGTAGCCATATGTTTCACATAAACAAATATAAAAGTATGGTCTTGAATGTGGATGGGAGGAGATTATGTTGTACTGTTGATTTTGTAATGCTGTATTTATTCAGGTTAAAATCAGTTGCAGTGTAATTTTGAATTTTTGACACATCAATATAATTTTCCAGATTTGAGTAAAGTTCTGATTAGTATAAATGACTGACTGAGATTTTTGGGTAACTGCCGATTGCTGCTAATGATGCTGTATTCCTGTTAACTTGAAAAAGAATTCATTGTCTGCTGAATTAATTGTTGTCCTAGATCATGCTGAAAAAGCTGACTTGGTGATCTGTTTGCTTATTGATCCATGAGCTCAAACTGCATGAAGAGGTCATAAGCTGTGGATTTAGTGATAAATACAGAGAGCAAATGTTGCACAGTTTCTCAACCTGTTGAAACAACACAGTGTG